CTCTCTTCTTAAAGCCCCTTTTTAAAAGCCTTCCAATGTCTTAGAGAAAACTTTACAGCATTGCGTTAAGATAGGATTCACCCCTATTTGTCAAATGTTCTGTGACTTCTTATCTGCTCCTCCTCATTAGGAGATCTGAAAACTACTTATCTTTGTTTCTCGAGATTCCATAGGCTCATGCAGCTTGTTTGCTACCCCTCTAACAAAATCAGATTTAACTTCAAGTACAACATCAACTTCATCTCCACTGCAGTCCTGGACGTGGCGCAGAGTACCATGACATCAGGTGGGAGTTAAGAAGAGTAGAGAATTCTAAGAACAAGACTCAAGCTTTCACACAATTCATTTAGTAAACTATCATAAGCACACAGAGTATAATCATTTTTCAATTATCTATTTTGTAGTTTTCCAAAGGATATCGACAAATCTTCAAGGAAAAAATAAGCCCAAAAATGACAAACAAGAAAAGATGTTGGAAAAATTCCACCCTGACACATCGATTCACATGTGGTTAATAAAGATAAATCAGATAAGACTCTGAAATGCACCAAATTTCTGCTGTGGGAGCTAACAGCACAGGGAGGTTCCTGATTTATTCCAAGTCTCCTTGAAACGTCTGCTTCATTTCCCTAATGAGAACTTTAAAAACTTGGAAACTTCAGGTTGGCACCAAAAAAAAAAAGAATGAGTTATCCTAATAAATCAACACCAAGTTTACTGGAGAAAACAATATTAAGTTGAGCTTCAAGCTGCCAATTTTTACAAAAGTGAGACACTGGCTCCATTAAAACATCAGTTACATGGATAGATTATACTACATCATTCTATTTTATAATAAAGCCATGTCCAATATTGTTCTGGCCTCTGCAGCAGAATAAGATAATACGACATTCATTCCCCATTATACACTAGGAGGACCTAAATGCTTAGCTCTGAACTTTGCTACTTCTCTGTACTTGTCCGACTCTTCCAGAAGATGATTAAAAAAACAAAAAAGATCACTAGCCTAAGTCTCCCTTCTTCTTATCACATGACGGCCTACAGACACCGGAAACTTAAATGCTTCAGGGAATGTATATATAACAAGTGTTTAAAGAAAGAAAGGCACAAATACTGCAGGAGCAATGAAACTTATTTGGGTTAAATTTATAATGTTTAGTTCATATGCTCTACTATATACAATAGTGTAACAAATAAGTCTTGATTATGACAAATCTACATCACATTAATACAAGCAGCTAATCACAAAATAAAATATGTAAATAAAATTCACAGCCGTATGGAGTGGAAATAACACAACCTTAGAGAATTTTCTGAAAAAAAGAACAAGAGTCTGCTTTGCTGGCAAACAAGATACTGTTGTTGAGTGTAACACCATCTGGTTGACATGCCTTTGCTAACTGCGCACAATGTTTTTGTTAAAGTGGTAAAACTGGTATTAATGTAGTGGCAGGAGAACGACGAGAAGAGGGTTGCAGAATCTCATTCAGGTGCAGAATCTGAAAATCTGGGTCCGAAATACCAAGTGGAGTTGGCAGTTCTCCACTGCCATCTGTTTTAAGGGGGGGAGGGGAGAACACAAAGAAAGAGTTGATACAACAGAATAGTCAATGCAGGTTTTTAATTAGAAATAATCAACAAGTGGAACCAGTTTCTATGAGCTGAGAGATAAGGAATTTAGTGATACATCCTATCACTGAAAAACCAAGCCAGACACTTACGAAATCATGCTGGCTCCGCAACATATGCGAATCCTTTCCAAATGAGAGAGTCTTTGGTATTTAGCTGACAACTTTTCACCTGTTCTCAAGGAGTTTTATTAAGGCAAATAGGATCCTTAAGTTAAATACATGTGTCCTTTGAGAGTGCACTCATTTTCTTTGGGGTCATATGGGTCATGAAATAAACTGAACTTCAGGGGAAATCTATGTTTCCTCGACAAAGCTGAAGATATTTCTAACAATTTACTACTTCCCGTTAAAAGCAGTAATCTTTTAAGTTGATGCTCTGTACTTTTCATGCACGTTTCATTAAAAGAATTAATGAAAAGAAATCTGTTTGTCAGAAATCCAGTTAAATATTTTTAGAAGGCAAAATATGCAAACTGTTCTAATTAAAAACCAAAGGACAAAAAGTAAAATAAAAAAAATAAATAAATCTAACTGCCTGAATAACAACACACACATACAGTTAAAGCACAGGTCCCTTCCCCTAACAGCCTGTCAAAATGAGAAAGAAGCCATTAGTTTTTAGTTGGCAACAAATCAGTTAAAATTAAATGGGGAATCTATTTCATACATAAGAATAAATGCACAGATTATTGAATATCATTTAATTCACAGTTATAACACTGGAAAAATATATGGCGACAAAGGGTTTTATATCACCTACAGTACTCCATCAAAAATAAGTTCAGACTATCTGAAAAACAGCTACCATAAATCTGCACTCCAAAGAGATTAAGTGCCAAGCTCTCTAGAAATGCCTACATCAGACTGCCTTTTCTCTGCAAGGCCATGGCAAGTCTCAGTTCTGCAAGTCTCAGAGGACGAAAGCAGTATAATTAATAAAAGGCAGTGATGAAAGAAAACACGCATTGGACTTGCATTACTTGGTTCCCGATGACGTCATATACTTTCTAAAAAACCTCAAATGTATATTTTGTGCATAAATCACAGTATAAGGGGAAGAATGTATATTACATATAAAGCTCTGAACCCCTTTCTAAAAATCTGTATCTTTGTTCCATCTGCTGTTTAGTTCTGCCTTCTTCTTTCCCAGAGACCCAAGAAAGAGTTCGATGATACCCAAAAGCTTGTCTACATTTATCCTAACTGTGTAGTTAGCCCAAAAAAAATTCTTGCCTCTCATGCCCTCAGCAAACATATATTAAAAAAATAACAGCTCAAGGTATTAGTAACAAAGAAAGTATCTTTTGAAATAGCTAAGTAATAAAAAACAAATATGAAAGTACTTGTAATGTTTTACTAATACAACATTCCATCTTTTACTTTACTCAGTTAAATTATATGCAACATGTGTTATTAAGGGAATTAGTTATCACTGGTAATTATTTCACAACATCAAGGACAATTAAGAAGGTACCAAGAGACTGAAAAAATATAGATGCAGTACATATTTCAAAGGAAGGACAATCCTGAAAAATTACCAATTCCCATGACTAACTTCCATCCCCAGTAACATAACAGAGGTTAATGGTAAAAAAAAAAAAAAAATGCCTAGAGGAAAAGTCCAAATGCAATATTTAGGCCCTAAATAAGTGGCCTACTTTGAAGAGTACTGGATTTTCAATTGTTGCTAAAATAGCCACAGCTCTAGCTGCCTAGCACAGCAAGAAGAACATTTAAGTTGAAGCCAAGCAAATTCAAATTAGAAATAAAGGTGCATTTCAGTCAAGAGTTACGATGGATTCTTCCTTGTTTCAAGTCTTTAAATATAAGACTGGATGCTCTTCTAAAAGATACTTTACTTCCACTACACATTATTGAGCACAATACAGTAATTACTGAGTCAAATCCTACAGTTTGTTACTACAACAGGTAAGAGTACATTACCGTAATAGTCCTTCTGACTCTACAAATTGATAGAGCTGGAGTTTTTAAAGGTATGAGTGTTAGGTTTAGTTTTGTTTAACAATTCAACTCATGAAGGGAAAGAAGGAGTAAAGAGTTCCTCAATAAAACGGAGATACTAATCTGAGACCAGCTGCAAACACAAGCCAGGACAAAAATTTTAAAAAATGCAAATGTATAAGAGAAAATATAATCTGAAACACACATTTCTTATAACAATCCAATGCTGAATAGAAAATAGACAATGGCTAGGAAAATGAGACAAGAATTTGCAGTTCAACATCGGAGCATAAGCAGGCTAATGTATTTTTGGGGGTTTTTTTGTTTTGTTTTTTTACCTACACAGATATGGGCCCCTCAGCACCAGGCAAGTAAACAGCAGCTTCTTTCTCTAAGGCTCTGGTACACCTGCAACATCATGCTTATTTCTGAATACCACCTACCAGAAAAATATTTAGAAAATGAAGGGAGTCCTGAGAATAGTAATGACAAGGATCATGTGTCACTGAAATTGTTTTATAATGGGATAATTAAGTATGTATATCTTGGCTATATATAACTGAAGAGTGCATGGAATTGGAAAGGAGACCAAGAATATTACACAGATGTAAACAAGAACAGAGGGAGATTATTTAGGGGAGCATAACTAGGAAAAACAGAATGAAACTATGAATGAGGGTTATGCTCATCACCACACAAAAAACCCTTGTATCTATTAGACTGAAATAATCTCCAAGGGGAAGTGTTGGACACACCAGGGCTTTAGACACCTAAACTCACAGGTGAACTATGCAGAAGTAAACGTACTGTAAGGCAAGTCTGAATTTATATTGTAATGGATCAGATGATTTAATAGTTCTTTTCCATTTCTAACCCCTGTGATTCTACACCAGAAATAAACATTAGATATTATTCTAGTAAGAGTTTACAGGGAATAGACACATACAACTAAGCCTCTCTATTGAACCGCTAGTAAATAAGAGTAAAGTGAAACACGATTAGAATGGTATGAAGTGATGCAATCAGTAAGCACATTAGCTAGAAACACCAACGAAATGGTAAAGAAAATGAAGGCAAAAAGGCAGAAAGACGAAACACGACGCATCTAATATGTGATGCAACTTTTCCAAAGGAAGGATGAATCAGTCTGGTTTAAGTTGAAATGTGGAAATAGTTGCAAGCTGTCCATGAACCAGTGTGATGTGTTTAGTCTCGGTCTAACTAGAAGTAACATCATGAAACTGGCAATTACCTTCAAGATGAATTCATTTTACATTCTAAACAACATACCAAGCTCTTGACAGTTATTCATAAAACTGCAGAGTTTGGTGGTGCCAGGGAGACGGATTTGGGATAGCGTTCAAAAAGTACATTGCTACAGTGATGACTGGTCTGTTCTTTTCTTACCATCGCACTTTATTGCATGTCTGTGTAGCACCAAGAGGAGAACCTGCCACCATAGGGACTTGGATAGGGCTATGCTGTTTGTTCATGACGAGGTCCAATTTTTCTTCCAATGATTTACAGGTAGCTTCTAGTGCCAGCAGCTTTGCCTCAATGCTATCCAACCGTAGGCATATTGTCTGGTTTATGGAATACAGGAATGACTGAGGAGGAGAACAGAAGCTGTTTTTAGAAACTTATTTTCAGGAACATGCCTATACCAATGTCCAGATAAAATGAGTTGCAAACAATTCAAGGGACTCCAACCAATTTACTCACAAAATGTGACCATCAGTAAAATCAGTGAAATCCTTCAACATCAGTCCAGTGCTCAAATTCTTCATTTCTAACCCAACATCCAAGATAAATATTGTACCTAATTACCCTTTGATTCCAATTTTCTTGTTACTCTATAGCTTAAGATGACAAGCCTCTCACTCCCTTATGCATAAAAACAAGATGACTATAAACATGCTTCAACATGTTAATGGATGAAGATAAATAAGATTGCTTCCTGCCCCCAAAAAGAAATGTAGTTGCTTATAAATGTATCAATGATCGTATCCATTCAAATACCCTCAGAGGCAACAAGCACAACTCCCTCCCATTCTGTAGCAAACACCAAACTTGGACATATACAAATAAAGTAATAAGATTCATTCCCTTTTACAAATCTATCCATTTATTTTAAAAGGTAAATCCTGCATGATTTTTCAGGGGGAAATTATGGAACTAAATACTAATACTATACTATATACACTTGAAATCTTGTAGAAGCAGCAAGCATGCCACCTTGTGGCCACCTAAAAATTAAAAGTTACGTATCTAGGTAAATTCTGAATAAAATCTCAGACAAAATTAACAGAATAGCATTGTTTGACAAGCAGCTGCCAGTCTACACTCTTAATTTGATTTTTGTGGTTTCTAACACAATCTTAAGAATGTAGAATTGCATATCTCAAGGTGTGTGGTAGTAACATATTATCCACATATTCATGTTTATGTTTATGCCCAAGACTGAACTACTATGAAAACATACTCTTAATAAGGTCTAAAGGGGAGTGAAGAAAGAGAGCATTCTTTCAGCACAGGAAAACCTAAAAAAAATTGGCTGAAATATTCAAAAGAATAATATTATTTAAAAAGAACTGTTAAAATAGTGAAAAAGAATACTGAAAGAACTAACATATGGTCAAATCCACCATTTTGATACAATTTATCCAAATCCTTCAACACAAAAGAGGAATAAGATTTGACTCAATGGAATGATTCTTTAAAAATACGTATAAAAGTAATCCAATAGATTTGGCTTTGGAAAATGACATATAAGTCTAAAGATGTATGTTTGTGCTGACTACCAATAAAGAAACATGCTATAACATTTGCAGGAAGGGCAAGAATACTGTCAGGACTGAATATAAATATACTAATTTCATTTCATTTTGCTTCCCTATTTCAATGCATTTTCCCCAATGTAAAGAACATATCTGACTTTATGACCAATAAAAAGATGCACTATTACCACCTTAATAGAGGGATCTTGGCAGTTAATTTCTATCCGCTGGCGTTTCAGAGCAGGTTCTACATCTTCGTCTGTCACTTCATGATTCTCCAACACAACTGCAAGAAAAAGGAAGTGCTGTCAATCTACAATATTAGGGGCAAAACACATTACATGTTATAAAGACATTAAAGGGAAAAACAAAACAAGAAAAAATCCAGGAGCACTGAGAAAAAGGCTCTAGTCTGAATCTTGTATTTATATATAAACATTTATTTGACTAATTAATTAAAAACATACAGATGAGTAGGGATACACAGCTTAAGTGTCTCATGCAGATTTGTCTGAAAACATACAGAAGAGATTAATGGTATACTGGGAACAGACTTGCTTTTAAATCAGGAAAACCATCTCAGTAAGACAAGAAATTATGAACTGATTCTAACACATCGTCATAAAAGGCGATGCTGAAATATTGGCAATAGCGTGGCATGAGAACTGTACTCTTTTTTTTCTTTGAGAAATATAGTTTGAATATTCAGCCTTCTTCAGAGTAACACTAAGCTGTGAGTTTCCTTATGTTTCTGATGTAATACCATCTTCGCTCAAAAAAAATCAAAATACCAGTTTGTTCAAGTAGCTTTTCATAGAAATAGCATTTTACACCAAATAAGCTTTTACAACAAAGCAAACTAGCCAGCAGAAAGAAAAAGTGGTATATTACTACACACTTATTATAAAGCTTTAAAAAAAGTCTTAATCAAAAAAATAGGGATGCACTAGCATAACACTATCATTAATTTTCTTATTTTCATTGTTATTTATGTTTGCTTTTTTCCCCAAAAAAAGTTTCCATCACAACATACAGGCAGTTGGGCAGTAACATTATTGTGACACATTAATCATGATGCATTTAGTACTTAATATTTAATAAATAATTATTTATTAATGTTTACTAAATAATAATGGTTGCAGTAACCCCACTGCACGGCTTCTTACAAACAGAAACTTGCCTTAATTGATATTAGGCAAAAAGGGGGAAACCTATATAATAAAAGCTTACAAAATCTGAGGTGTTCCATTGCTTGTTCATAATCACCAATGCCCCCTTCTAAAAAAAAATGTAGCCCTAAAACAGCTACAAAACCCAAAGTAGTGGGCCCCTGCACATATGCAGAACCACAAGAGTTTCCCTGGAGTTCCTCAGGGCGAGGGTTTCACCCAGGGAGTTCTGAGCAGGTGAAGAGGGTTTACTATGTATCAGTTCTTCCGAAAATACACCTGCAATAATGCTGCAAACATGCACACATGCTTATACCTGCAGACGACTGGTTCCCAACCTTTTTAGACTGAAGGCACCCCTTGATAACTTCTTTGCCACTTAGAGACACCCCATTTAACGACTAATTTATTTCTTACAATGCTTACCTCCTTGCACCCTGCAGCACCCTTAAAGGGATCTGAGAGGGCAACAGGGCAGGCAGCAGTGGGCAAGGCTCCTCTGAGAGCATGGCAGGGGTGCTACACAGTTCTCAGTGCTGGCAGGAGTTGCTCAGTGGGGCAGATTAGGAAACTTGGGAGAGTGTCATTACACCTCCTGAAGCTGTCCCTGCAGGAGGTGACATTGGTACAAAGGCTGGTGCCAGATGAGGGTGGTAAGGGACAGGACTCTTCTGCGCCCTGCTCTGTCTGCCCCCGTCTGTACCTGAAGGAATGAACACAGCCTCTGCCACTGTGGCTGCTCCTCTGGGGACTCAGATGATGGGCCATTCCCCACAGCCCTTCCCATGCTCCTAGAGCTGGTGGGAAGAGCAGGGAAAGGAGCCAGGTTGAAAAAATTCAGCCCCACATCTGCCCACCCACCAGTAGCAGAGAGCACTGCTCAGGGCACATGAGAAGGAGTTGAGGGCTGGGCTTTTCAGCACAGCTCCTTCCCCTGCGCTTCTCATGCTCCCAGGGCTGGTGGGTAGTGCTGCTGAGACACTGGGGCAGGTGCAGGGTGCCTGATGCTGGAAGAAGCCAGTGCTTACAGCCTCTTGCAGGGGCCATGGTACCCTGGCTGAGAATCAGTGCTGCAGACCTACTATCTATAACACAGTGTGGCACAGGTATAACTGCTCATCACCAGAGCAGAATGCTTTATGAAGAGTATCACTTGTCACTAATTTCATCAGGACATCTTCTCTAACTAGATGGACTGATGCCCTCAGTCCCAGAAAGATAAATTTCAATACATGTATTTATTTTTAATTTTTAACCAACTCCTACAGGGCATGGTATTTGCTTTTGAGGGTAATTTCCGATCCTGCTTCAATACAGTAAGAACACTGGACTTGAATTGTGTAAAAATGAGCTACTGAACAAAACTTTGGTTCATAGTGGCTGGGTCACAGCTGGGTATGAAGTATCTGCACAAAGAAGAGTAAAACACACTATAAATCATGCTTAACTCTAGATTTTGGCATAAAAACAAGAATAGCATATAGCTTTATAGACTTTAAGAGGTTCTGTATAAAACATTAGAAGAAATACTGGTCTACTAAAGTATTCAAGTCCTACTGGCAGAGTAAGCTTAAAATAACTAAGAAACTTATGTGCCAGTACAAGTAATTTTGTGTTCCACTTCTGGGAGGGCATGTTTCATCACTCTTTCTAGTATTGGTGCTGCCTGCTTTACTGTACCTGGATGATCTGGGTTCAAGTCTTCTACTGCAATCTGAACCACATCTGCCAAATCCTGTTCTGTCATCATTCAGAATCAGGCAGCAGCGTCCAATCCAATGCCACTGAAGACCCCAAACCAAGTGATCTGTGAAATCATACAACCCTGGAGAACAGAAGCAAGGAGGATGTTAAAAACACACCTAAACACTTTAAACCAGTATCTATTTATTGCTGGATTCATGTTTTTAAAAAAGGAAATGGGATGTAAGGGATTAATAGTAAAAGATTACACATTTAAGACGTTGGTTCAAATCCAGTTTCTCTAGTAATGACCAAGAAGTTGTGGCCACCTAATAAATGTTCATTGACATACGTGAGATAGGCAAGATAAATCTTGGCCCAGTTTCCACTTGAGAAGTGTCCACATCACAGAAATAACCTTCCCAACTGGCATTAATTACTACTTTTTGAGGATAAGGATTGAACTCTCCCTATGACTCCTTCAAGTGGTCTCATTGTATGGCCTCAGATAAATCAGTAAGGATTATACCACCTCTGTATATACCGCACTGCAGCAGCAGGTAAAGAGAGTCCCTGCCTTCCCCGATTTAAGGCTAAACACATCAGAAAGCTTCATTTCATTTTAAACTGAATTTTAATTAAAAGTTTTATTTTTAAGTGGAAAAAAGCACACATGTTAATAAGCAAAAAATGAAGCATAATGTCTTTTAGCCTGAGCAACAGGTTTCTAAACTACAAGCTTATTTGAACAGCTTGCAAAGTATCTTTTTAAAAAGTAAATTACTGTTGTTATTAGTGCACAAAAATACCAGCCCAAATTGGGACCCCATTTGGTTATGCACCGTATAGATGTATATAAAGATAACATGCCAGCAAATGTGACTCCTAACCATCTTGGTAAACACTCAGTGAGATTAGGGAGCTTCTCTACTGCTAATTACAGCTAGATTTAAACCAAAATTCAATTTTTACTTTCTTGGCTCCAACGTCTGCCTGGTGTTTCCATAGCTTAGCTCACTGAAGCTTAATTCTATTTCCAGCACGCCGTGCTTCTTCTAGAGCCAACCATATCTCACTCCTGCTCCTATGGAATTTGCTGTCAGGGGCATTTAGCAACTGCATTAAAAGAAACCACAGCCACTAAGTTGAATTTAAATCATGGCAGCCATGCATATTTGTGTTTTCCCACACTTTGAGAAGGATGGACAATGCATGCCAGAAGACCAGTCTTTTTTGATTTTTTTTTTTTTTTTAAATACCTGAAGCAAAGGATACTAATGGGATAATTTGAGGTTTACCAATGGAAGCAGTAAGTTATCCCTTCACGTTGGCACTGAATCAACTAGAAATATGTATAAATATTTTCCTCTTTCTTCCACTTGAACGCGGGACAGCAGCTAAATCAGGCAGGTGGAGTGCAACTTTAAAAAGTCTGATGCAGCGTTACCAAAGACTTCTCAGACTGGCCTCAGCAGGAGCTGGTCATTGTGAAAGCCCTATCATAATGTCTTCCAAATGAGGACACCACACAATATCAGAGATGTTTATTCAGAAGGATGTTGCTGCCAGTATTGAGTCACTTGAAATTCTGATCATGGTGAAAACTGTTGGGACTGCACAGCCCGTGGCAAGGTGCCCAAGAAAACTCCGCTAGATTAGCGCATGTGGTTGCCATTTTGGCAAATTAGATTTGCCATTTCTCAGAAGTCTTGGAAACTGGCCAGTCTTAACATAATAAAACAGCTGTGCTAGAATTACTGTTTCATAATGTCACTAACTGCAAGTACTATTAAACCCTGCCCTAAACTTGAAGTGAGGTCTCTTCCAATGCACGCTTTAGAAAAAGGGACAAGCTACGTGAAACTGTAACCTAAAAAGTCCAATCTATTTACAGTGCTAGACTTCATATGGTTAATTTTAGCCTTGTCCAGCAGCAGCGCTCTAGTTGCGAATATGTCGGCATATTGTAAATTGTTTTCAAGGGATCTGTCACACATTTGTTTAAATTCACTGTTTGCTGCTATGATGCACATAGTTTCTCTTCCAAAATCCATCTGTTATAACAAAATTATTTATATTGGTTAAGCCCTTGCTTAGCACAAATAAAAAAAAAATTCCCCTTCATGATCTCTTTTCTCCAACTCCAACCTCTTGTGTAGCGTGCCAGGTAAGTAATGTCCTACCTTTAAAAAGGGATATTCACAAAGATCCCATTTTTTGCTAGCCAGGCTACAAGCCTTTTAACAATAAATTAATAAAGTAGGAAATAGCTACAATGTGGAAACTGATGGTTATCATGCATACACACTAATGCTTCTTCATAACATGATCATCAGTTTTCACTTTTTAAACATATTGTACTATAATTTCAATAAACATCTCTTTTATGGAATGGCCAAAATCAGCACCAGACATATTATTTTTATGTTGCCAAGAGGCATAGCCAAATACACATCAGTTGCTACCAGGCTCAGGAAGAACATCTATCAAGAGCAAAAAGGAAAATTAATATATTTATACATGCTAGATACATGGATTACGGAGGTGTTGTAGCAACTGCTTGAAGTTGACTTGAGATTAAGTGGGAATAAAATCCCTTTCTTTTCCATTTAACTTTTCAGTGTAGGCTGGAATAGTTTAGCATGGGTCCAGCTTGTTCAAAATGAAGCTCAAGGTAAAACCTCACTGAACTTTGACAGGAAGTGCCTTAGGCCAACGCTCAGGAGTTTTGGAAATCAGATCTTTGGTCTAAAAAAGAGTTGTCCAACAACTAAGCAGCTGGAGGCCAAATGCCCTGTGGGCTACTCCAGTGGGAACTGCACCCCAATGTGCCACGCCAGGGAAGGACACACGTCCCCTGGCCACTTGTGTCATAGATGCCTCCCTCCCCAACAATAATGTACCCATGCCCATGGGGGGAGCTGCAGCTGGGCAAGATCCCAGGGGCCAAAACCCATAATTCCTTGCAGACTGCATGCAGCCAGTTGGACAGTACTGGTCTACAAGTTTGCCACAACTGCTCTTCAGTGAAGAGCAGAATTTTCTTAATAATTGTTTTAGTATTTACCAGGTTTTCTAAAGGAAGCATTTAAAAACACGATGCTTTTTTAAAAAATGTTGCTGTTTTCCCAAGCCCTGAAAATTCCTTTAAAATTCCAAGCCCCGTATACATCCCCTCTGCTGATATCCAAGAGGCCATTTTTCAAAAATGTTAACAATGAAACATGTAAAAACAGGAACTGAAGCTTTTTCTCCATGTCAGGATTAATTTACACAAAGATTAGCAGAGAGAAGGTTGAGGTTAGGTTAGATGATCTGATGATCGCTTTTGGCTGCTCAGATCTATTAAGCTATATATTTTCAGACTTTTTATTTATTTTATCCTGAGCTACACTCTGCACATAGACTGGGTGGAACAAGGTGACAGACTTGGCAGCAGAGAGTAAGAGGACACAGATGCGCAGGAGACAACATGCAATGCTTTGGAAAATCACGGTGGTTTACGAAAAAAATGCAGGTGGCCTGGTAACCCAGGACTGCACACGGGTTTGTACGACAGCTGGGAAAGAGTGAGGATCTGGGCAGCCCTCTAGCACGAGCCAAGTACATAAACGGTTCCCAAAGGCACTACTCTTTTGGTGGACTGGGATGTCATGACAATGCAACATGGAAAGTTGTGCCATAGCACTGAGATGCAAGGCAAATTTTCAGAAGTGCTTCAGTGCAACAAGTTTCATACAGAACTCGAATTAGACTTAAGTGTTAACGGCTCTTACGTGTTTTACAAAATTTGATCCCTGGTGGTCCCATGAAATGGTCCTGCTTTGATGATACAGCTGGGGCGGGTCCTGCTTTGACCAGGGGGTTGGACTAAATGACTTCCTGAGATCCCTTTTTTAACCCTCATTTTCTTTGATTCTTTCATTCACAGCCTGTTTCCTCCACTCAGCTCCCCTCCTCATATACCTGCTCTCCACGACTTTTCAAATTCCTCCGCTAGTCAGCTTTTAAATATTGACAGAGATGATGATTGATATTTTCCAGATGCAAAGGCCTATGCTGATCAAGTCTGATTTGCTCAAAGAATTTGCACCCATCTTTGTCAAACATACAAAAAATTAAAATCAAAAAAGGATGAAGGGGAACAGAGGCTGTGAAAGAGTAGTAACAGATCTGCTTCAAACAAACAAGAAGTATTCAAAACACATTTGCTTCTCTACAGTAACAAAACATCTCAAAAAATAGCAAGACCTCTTGAAATAATGATCACCTATTCATAACAGGAGCTATTAGAAACATAAGACTCACTGATCTATAGTTTAGAAAACATTTAAAAAATTTCTAGTCTTCCCAGTAGCACTTCAGACATAAGCCCCTCAAAATGATTAATCACAGAGATATACATCCCTTGTCTTCCAAGATCCCAAGGAAAATCTCTTTCCAAACTGAGAAAATGGCCCTGGAATCCAAGGGGGAACAGTTATTAATATGGAGGAGCATCAAAAGACCATAGTAAACTAAGGACTAACACCTCTAACAGTCAATAATCTTACTTGATGAGACAAAGTGTGTAAAAAAATTAATTTCCTTTCCAATCAATTACAAACATTTAAATTTTGCATCAACCAGCTTTCCATTATCCTGGATCTGGTTTTGAAGAAACAAAGAAAGGGTGTTAAAGAGTTCATCGTATTTAGATAATCACTTGCCTTGACAAAATTAGGTTACAGGGATGCTCAGAAAAATTAAATCTGAAGTGATGCAGTCTGCGGACAAAACGTGAGAAAATAACACAAGTTAAGAGGGGATGGAGCTTTACTACTACACGCAGACTACCCTACAAGAGGAGTCCACGTCCACTCTATACAACAGTACGTGTGAACTCCAGCAGTTTAGCTCAGGAGTGCTCAACTCCCAGCCTGGAGAGCCACCTAGTCTGGCCTACAGGCTTGCCCAGGAGTCTGGAAATTTTTCGATGGGGGAGCAGCAGCAATTAACAACATCACTGCTCCTCTGCTGCCAAATTTCAAGCCCTAGACAGCTGGATGGGCTCCCCCCATGCAGAGGGATCAGGTTCTAGTCCTATGCAGCAGATCAGGTCCAATGCAGCCACACAAGACCAGCCCACCCCAGGCAGCTGCA